AAGGAGACTGACTCACATTTTTAAGGCCTTGTCTCAACGTATTAAGATGACACAGACGTTAAGTATTTCTGCCATAAGAGACTGGTTCAGAAAACACGTGTCCATATATAGGGTTAGGTGCAAAATTCCGTTGGTGAGAAAATACTAGATTTATAACTAAAGTATTCGAGTTTTATTCTAATAGAATTCATGTATGAGCTAAACTAAACATATTATAATATTTTTATGGCTTCAAATCGATCTTAAATTTATCTTTAATTAACATTCTCGCGCGGTTTTACCCCGCTGCTCAGCTCCATTTGATCGTGGCGTGATGTTTTATAGATGTTTCATAGCACTCAGGAACATTGTAGCTATCTATCGGTGGAAGAATTTTGGTAATCCGACCAGGGGTTCCAAAGATTGCCCCCCTACATACAAACTTACAAATGTTACCCCTTTATAACATTAGTATAGATAGTATAGATAAGTGTAGACTTGGGATAAACATTTTTTAGCCAATTTTTTTCAAATACAGCTCATGATTCTGCCTCTTATACAATGAAACTGAGAGAACAATAAAAATATCTGCACTTAAAAAAAAACAGACAAGATTAAGTGGGGGGTGCCATGCTTCGGCACGAATGGGTCGGCTCGACCGGAGTGATACCACGGCCTCAGAAAAACCTAGCGTGAAGCAACACTTTCGTTGTTTCGCCGTATGAGTAAAGCTATATGCAATCCCCAATCCTCAAATCCCCTATCTAAATCTCTAAAAGCTATCACGCAAACAAGACAAATTAACAAAGATCAAAACAAAGTTTTAAACTTGTCTATAAAGAAAATTGCAACACGTCATAAAAATTAAGGAACATTTCAAAAATATGTTTCGATGGAGACCTTGAATAAACTAGTTTTTTTTAAATGGATGGACAGTTGACAGTTGTGGGAGCGGCAATATTCCGAAGCATTTTGCAATAATTAAAATGTGTCTCTTGGGGACAGCTTGACAGTTTTTATTTGTTTACACAATTCTCGTGAATTGTGAAAAGTTTTTTATTGATGAGTTCATTGATCATTTATTTAGAATTTTTAGTTATCTTACTTTTTCTAAAATAGCTCTAGTTCTTATGGTCATAGTGTAATATTTCATAGCTTATAGCCTAAAAGCTTTCCTCCAATATAAACTTCATCGTTCATCGTTAAACGTCATCTATGACTGCACAATTGGCGCGGTGGCTGGGCAACTGGATGCCGTGCAAAATGTCGCGGGTTCGATTCCCGCAAGGAACAACAGTTTGTGTGATCCACAAATTGTTGTTTCGGGGTGGGCTGTGATGTTTGTAAATGCACCCATGACACAGGAGAAAATTCTAGTGTTGGGCAATGTTAAAAAAAAAAGAAAATATAAACTATCCAACACAAAAACAATGTTTAATTCGAACCTCTAGTTCTGAAGATTAGCACATTAAAATAAACAAAAAATTCTTCAATTAAATACCTAATATTCATAATATAATTTACAATTATACTAGAGTAAATAAATGCATTTGCAAAATGCTGTACTGAACCGTTCACACAAAAATAGGTGACTAGCATATCAAAATTGTTAATCAAACTCGGTCACACGCTATTAGATTGTTATGTTTATATCCAGTATTGGATGTTAACAGACTGTGACTATAACAATGATCTCAAAATCATTACATCACACCTTTAAAACAGGTTTCTGAATTGTGTGAAAGAGATAGACATAATAATTTACCTTTTTTTTTATTGGGTAGTTGTTTTATGAATCCCATATCTCAGCGACTTGTCGGAGAAGTCCAATATTTTTATACTGATCAACATTTAAAAGGTATAAAAGATTATACTTTACTTAATAAAAAAACAAAAATAAACCAGTAAGTATCTAGTTTTCTAGTCATAATAACAGGTTTATGGAAAAACGGTGATGATTAATCAAATGACAATGTATTAAGTCATTTAAAGTAAAAGAAAAAACCTGATTCATAAATAAATTAAAAGAAATTAATAAAACAACTACTCATTAATAGGAACAGTATGGTAGCCTCTTTCTTTAACACAGTACCTAAGATTTTGAGAAAGTATTATTATGGTATGATAAAACTACCCATTAATAGCAACAGTATGATTGCCTCTTTTTTAACATGGTAAGAAAGTATTATTACGATATAATTTTGATATCCAGAGATAAGATAGGATGGTGGAACGGTATACTAGACTATTTCTTTTCCCTTCCTACATAGACAAAGGCCAATAGCAAAACAACTACTCCATACAATTACATACCTCAAACTGCCAATTTACCTTATTTCATTCATAAAATATGAATGGAATTTTTAATTTTAGTAATATGTTTGTCACACTTATCTGGGATGACTCATACACTATTAAAATACTTGCTTCTTAGTATTAACTTGACAATATTAAAAGAACAGGTTACTAATAAATATTTTCCATTAGTTTATTACTTTAAAATAATGTCAAGGCTTTTTCATACTGGTAAGAGAATGTAGGTTGCATGCAATGAAGTTAATAAAGAGCCACTTTTTTATTTCAATAAAGTGACACTGGTATGAAAGTAGATTTTTTAATTATAATAAGTAGATAATAGGGAAATTTCTACGAAGTCAAATTCCTTCCAAATTTAAATTTGGACATACTTAATTAATTTAAAATATTTTAAGACATAGATTTTAAATTAAATACAAAGACAGACATGGGTATTTGATTATTATTAAAACATGTCCCACACAAAAATAGTAAACAGAAATCAATTGATTGACAATAGTACAAATTTGTTTACAATAGTGATGTCATACAGGAAGAAAACACAGATAATACAACATTTTTGTGAATTAAAACTGATATCAAGAATTCCTGCAATCTTATCTCTAGATTATGACTCAATCTAACGAAATAACTGCAGGTTTATTTACTCAACTTATCATAATTAGTGAGTACTGCACTATCTCTAAGATATCATGAGTACTCAGAATAAATTTCAAGTAATATCCACATTGCAATACACATAGGGACTGAAGAAATATATTTTTAATCAGAAATAGGGGTGGGGTGTATATTATTAGTCATATGCACTCATTCTAACAAAACACCCTTCCTGGGGGTCCCATATTCCCCATTTCGGCGAAACGTTACGCATATGGTGTTCAGGGATGTCCCCACTGGACAAACTCTGCCCCAATTAAACAAATTGCCGCCAAACCCACACAAGGTCATTGCTAAACTCTTATTTACAATACTTTCACATAAAATAACATGAATTAACATCGTGGGGGAACGCAACGCGATGAAAAATCGATATGTATTCCGAAACGTGTTAAACTTTTTACAAACGCATACTATAATGACTAAGGCATGCTTTTTTACAGCCTTTGATTACGATGTCATTCATAAACGTATGTAATTACGATCGTAATGAACTAATCGATGAACCGTAACGACCGCACGCCCGTGCTATGTTTACGTTATAATATCTATGAAAAAAACAGTCTGCCGATATAAAGGAAGGCTACCGGTGCAGCAGATACTATATGGACATAAATAGATCGACGCGTGCATGATCATCGTTGTAATTATTTATTTGTTTTGCTAACGAAAGCTCCGAGGAGCGATGAACTCGTTATATTGTACATACCTCATTTTGACGCTCTTATCCTTTGTCAAGACAAATCCGAATGCACTACTGCACAACACGAAACAATTGTTCACTTATAAACTGCATATTTTCACAAACACATACGAGCATTTCCGTATTATCGCCTGTTATACACGTCTGGGACACTTTCGGTAGCCATTTTTGTCAAAAAACACTTTTTACGTCCCGATTCCCGATTTCGAAAAGCTGTGAGCGAGATGACGCTAGCGCCGCGCCGAGACAACGAATGAAAATAAATGGAACATTGAACCGGGTGCTCGCAAATCCTAGAATATTGCAGTCCGATTCACACTCTAAAATGTAACTTAGCTTCCACTAAAAGCTTCCACGTCAAACAATACGCGTACAATGTCAACCGAAGTTGCCTGCAGCTTCAACTTCACTGGGCGAATCGGAACTCGAATTTACATTTTTCGTCCTTATTCGGTATTTCTACCTTACTTGGGCGGATAATATCCTATCCCAGTGCAAGCACCAATCACTACTTGGAATTATGCTTCAAAATGATACTAGTGCTGCCACCTCGTAGCTAGTTGTGTAACTTCTAAGACATACTGGCAACATCCCAACGAAGTTAAATTCAATTATTTTAGTGTCTCCGTACCTCGTGCGGTGCTTGATTCGTAGTGAAAAGATTTAACTACACGTCACACTTCATTTTAGTATTTCGTGGACTTACTATCGTTAACTTTAACATAACGTTTGACACAAACTTTCGTAAACAAAGAGATCGTATATTGTATTTTCAAGACGTGCAATACTTTACAACTATAGTGATGTAAGAAAAACTACTAATCGACTAAAAAAAAAGTTAACAATATTATCGACTAAATAATAAACCAAATAAATAATTTTGTTAGTCCAAAGTGTAAAACGTAATTGACTTATCATGAAAAGGGCAACTCAACTTCCGAGAACAACAACAGCGATATCATGGATACAAAGTTTCTAGCAGTTTTCTTAAATCTTAGATTTTGAAATTAAAAATGAGACAAATTCTCTTCATTTTATTGCGCTTTTATTATGTTTTAGTATTCAATAATATAATCGAAGCACAAAGATGATCAAGCATTATTTTATTCAAGCTAGTGAATCCAAAACGTTTTGAAACCTAATTTCGCATAGATTGTATTGGATTTTCTATAATAAGTAATGACAGACTTATTATAAAAATCCAATTAATATTAATAAAATGAAAGCAATTAGTCTGATGAAAAAAATTTTTTGCCGTCTTAATTTCGACTTAAAATTCGACTAATTTAATATTACTATTTACAGTGCGGTTGCCTAGTCAACAACGTATTTTGACAGTTGTGAGTGACAATAGTTTTCGGGAAAAAAGTCAGCCTGTTTTTCTTTTGATAAACAGTTCCTTTTTCGAAAACTTAAAAATAATGGTGGGCGCAATGCCTGTTAACTTAATACCAAAATTTTGTAACGGTACCATGGATAGTCACAACGGTACCGAGGATAGCGAAATTCAAGTGCACATCGGTAGTCGGGTAAAGTGTAACGACGATTTTGGTACGGTGAAGTATATCGGTGAAGTGCACGGATACAAAGGTATTTGGTACGGAGTTGAATGGGACGATCCAGCGAGGGGTAAACATGACGGCTCAGTGGACGATGTCCAATATTTCAAAGCGTCCAAACCAGGCGCTGGATCATTTATTCGTCCGAACAAAATTTCTCCGTTGAAAACTTGTGCTGAAGCTATCAGAAAGTATTACGGTGATCGCGAGGTGAGTCATAAACACAGCTATACAAACAAAACAAACTTTTTAAATATTTTCTTAAACTTCATTGTAAGTGCACAAGCATTAGGTCATTCCACCTACATAAAAACTTGGCAGTATGAGTGGGTTGTGTTTTTAATCTGTCACTGTATTTCAAGGCTGATCTTGTTGTTTAGATTGCTTATTTATTTCTTAATACAGTAATAAATTAATGTTATAAAGTCTGTACGACATAAAATAATGTCTTTGATAAGCGTGTTTGTTTTCCTTTCACATAGGCATCTTATGTTTATAGTCCCGTATTTTAGACTCTTTTATAAAATTATTAAACCTCTTTACTGTTCTAAAACTTTCAGTTGTAAGCAACATAGAATAAACTATGCCATAAAATGTTGAAGTCTTTTTTCAACTACAAATCACTAAGAACATTATTTCTAGATTTCGAAACATTAATAAAAGTGCAAGGACTTAGTAAATCTATATTAACTAACATAATATCTGCATTGCACCACTAAGGCTATTGAAAAAAACAATATCATTAAGACTAAGTAAAAAAGTTATTACAACATACCATTTTATCAACAACATTATACCTTTTTGAAAAAGTGGAAAGCACCACCCTTTTTTGGAGTTTTGTAAACAATACTGAATAATAATTAATATGAAAAAACAATTCGTGCAATCTATAACCATAAAAAGGAGTAAATAACTCTTCTTATAAGATCCTCATATGTAATTGTTTAATAGAACCTATTTAAAAAAGGTTGTTATCTTGATTGAAATAAACATAAAAGTCAAAACTTTAAATTACTTGGACCAATATTGCCACTTATTTTTGTATTTGCTATTTTCATATTAGTTAACCTTACTTACATTTAATTATTGTATCATTATTTTTTCTAATATCCTTTTTTCACATTGCATATTTATAATATCTATTAGAGAATTTAACACAGAGTTGCCCAACAGCACAGCAAAGTGACTTAAATTATAATAACAATATATAATTATGCTAGTTTCCAACTAGTAAAATTTAATACTTTTGTCCAATTATTGTCAAAAATGTTACTTTTCAATGAAGTGTTTATTAACTCCCAAATATGACATTATAGTACTTTTTTGTGAAATATCTTATTAAGTTCTTAAAAATTACCAATTTGTATTGACAAGTTGAAGAAAAATTTTTTTTTTATTTTTCAATAGTTATTGTATTGAAACATACAATATTTTTATTTATTGACCCAGGTAATTACCTAATTTTTGCTTTTCTATGCTAGTTTAATTTAATATAGGTTTTATAAATTATTATCAAATCATATTTCTTTTATATCTTTAATTTTCCAAGTTTTATAAGATCTTCAGTACTCACGTACTATAGATCATTCAAAAATAGTTAATCAGGATCATAGATTCCTGATGGTAAGCAATACCGTAGAACGCAACTCGAGCCGACCTAACCAAACGCGTGTAACCAAACGATAGCGCGATCTATCTCGATCCCAACGCCATCTATCGAGCGTGTGGACAACTTTGTACAGTACGACAAACAGTTCATCACGATATTTGTTTTCATTTTTTTTTAATTACTTTAAAGATTAGCAGTACTATGTTTGTGTTGAAATAAAGAGGTTTTAGTTGAAAAATAAAATCCATGTTTTTCATATAATATGTATGTTTTTTGTTTAACTTAAAATTTTCTTAAATAAAGATAACATCAAATTTTATAATAATGAAAAATAAATACTGATGCGCTTATAATGTATAAGTTTGTGAATAACATAAAATTGAGTATTTTTTACAAGACCTTTTTTATACCTTTTGTTAAAAATTCGGCGTCGGTCACGGATATTCGCTGAACCCGCCGAACCATAGAGATAACATTTCCTTTACTAATTATTATTAATTTTAAATATTTTTATGTATCTATAAGATCTTTAGCACTCGCGTACTTTAGACCTTTCAAAAAATAGCAACACCAGGATCTTCAATTCCTGATGGTAAGCAATAGCTTCAAGGTCAACGCGAGGCCACCTAACCAAACGCGTGTAACGAAACCATAGCGCGATCTATCTCGATCCCAACGCCATCTATCGAGCGCACAGACAACTCTGCATAGTACCAAAAACAGTCCATCACGGATTTTTATTTTCGTATAAGAATTTTCCTTAGAAGATTTAGTAATTTTGTTTGTGTTGAAAAAAAAGATATTTCAGTGGAAATTTTTTTATTTATTTGTATTTATGCAATCGGCTTTTTTTTTTTAAAAAAGGTTTTTGAAGAATGGACAGACCTCTCTAGTTCGTAATATCGTAATATAAATATAAATTGATAACTCTCGACAAAAAAGTGTATTTATAGTAAAAGACATCGCTGAAATTGCCTTAAGAAACAAAAAATACTTTATTAACACATTGTTAACATAACAATGTGTTGTTTTTTTTAGTTATTTGACTAGTGTCATGTCTGGCGCTTCCTCTCGAGTTTTACCTGCTGCTCGGCTCCTATTTATTTATATTTAGTGAATGGATTATTTATTCAATACAAACCACAGACGGGGCCCTATAGGGCTGATGTTCAGCCAGGGTCCTATAGGGCTGATGTTCAGCCGGGGTTGCGGGGTAAGCGCAATGAGGCACCGTGGGGTCTCGGCCTAGATAAGGAGAAGGAACGGAGGGTTTTAGAGTCTCACTCCCTCCCTGGGCGGGAGAAATCATTTTATGATTGTCCCCTCACGAAAAAGAAGAAACAATATTGTTAAATTCACGAGGAATGTTGACATACAAACTTTTCAGGTTTTTTAATTTGTATTGCGTATTAGGTATAATAAATCGACCGAATTTTGTTTAATGTTTTTAAAAATTAAACAATGTTCGAAACTTTTGTATGTGGTATTACAAAAGTTGGTCTTATAAGTGAGTGCGTGTACTCTCGGGTCTAGTTCTGGTCGGGCGTTTTGACGTGCTAGCCTAGGACACAATCTAGATTAAATCCTCTCTATCAATTCTATGTTAAACATTACCCATCCAATAACACTCCATATCTCTTTCCAGTGGATACAATTATCACAATACGATGAAGTGACAAGAAAAATTATAGATGTAAACATAACGTAAGTTCCTTATATTATTATTATCCGTAACTATTTGTCGATTACAGGATGAGACAGTAGCCGCCCATCGTAGGACAGTCATCAACGAATGGAAGCGAGAAATGGGAGCGCCCTTCATTGAAATGGTCGGCTTTGAGAAAATTCATCAGAAACAGTAAGTTTATTGTTACAAGTTATAATATATGTGTAATGGCACTGAAGGAAAATATCGTGAGCAAGTCAGAATTTCTAATTTCCAATTATAAGTTTCGCGTGTCGTTGTGGCCGAAGGTAAATTTAAGTTAAAATAAGGCCGCTTCTCCTACTTAAGGAGGTCGGTTCGATACCCGGCAAGTACGATTGCTTGTTTCCGAGTCATTTATGTACTTTCCAAGTTCCTTAAGAATATTCCGTGCCCACTGTTGAACAAAGACCTCTTCTCACATCAAGAAGGACACTGCCCAAGGCGGATTAATGATTATAGATTTATAATTATAAAGTTCTTCAAGTCCAAATTAGTATAACTCGAAATAGTCGGATCGGTACTCGCCAGGTTCTGAACCTGCTCAAGAAGCGGGCTTCTCAATCTCCAATCATAACACGATATATTTACAATTACCGACCCGCCCCGGCTTCATGGGTGAATGCCAATACTTAATTTCTCCACCATATAACCGATGTTATTCCTTCCTAATCAATCACTCTATCTATTAAAATACCGCATCAAAATCCGTTGCGTAGTTTTAAAGATTTAAGCATACATAGGGATATAGGGACAAAGAAAGCGACTTTGTTTTATACTATGTTGTGATTTAGTTGAGCAGACAAGTTATAATAACTAATACTTATATCTGTACTGTATCAAGTACTTGTATAACACAATATGTGATGTATCGAATATCATGACTGCAACTAAATATGTCGAGTTATGTGCCTTGCAAAGTCTCAGATCAACATATATTTTTATAATATAGATATGTAATAATCATTATGTCGTTGAAATCAGTATGTTGTTGTTTAAATGTAAAATATTGTCATGTTATGTTGAAGATTGTATGAATAATACTTAACATGAATACGGTGGTTTCCAACAGTCAAATTTAATCAATACTTTTATCCAAATGTCAAAAATGATACTTTTCTATGGAATTTGTATGTAACACTGAGTTATGCGTCATATTATTTTTGCGTCAAATAGCTTACTTATTTGTAATAATTACCTACAAAATATCTATCTAATATCTACACAACCTTTATAATAAGCTATTCCAACATTTCTAACCATATTTCTTTAATAATTTTGCAGAAATTTCGACCGTCTCCTAGAAGTTTGCGTCCACGACCAGAACATCTCGAAGGCGGGCGAGGTAGCTTCCCTCTGCCCCAACGTACGTAGCCTCGATGTGTCCCGCAACCTGTTCTGTAACTGGCGTGAAGTTATTCAGCTGTCTGCGCAACTGCCTGATTTAAGGGAACTTGATGTCAAGTAAGTCACAGTTACCCATCAACAGGCCTGGATGATCTCCGGCCACCGTAAGCACGGGTCTGCGGTCGGCGAGTAAGGGCAGCTCGCCGCCCGACCAGAACCAGGCCCGAGCTTACGGCGCGTAGCGTTCCGCGCGCGCCTCAAAGAGCCATTAGACCACCACAGACGGGGCCCTAAAGGGCTGATGTTCAGCCGGGGTTGCGGGGTAAGCGCAATGAGGCACCGCGACCTCGGCACAGAGCAGGAGAAGGAATAGGGGGGTTTTTAGTCAGTAAGAGTCTGACACTCCCTCCTGCCCGGCCCTGGGCGGGAGAAGTCATTTGATGATTTTCCCCTCACAAAAAAAAACCATCAACAGGCCTATTTTAAAAGCCATTAATTGCGAATTACATAAACTAGTAATCAATATTATCATTATTATTAATCAGACTGCACAGTTGGCATTTTGGCTAGCAAATTGCTGCCGTGCAACGTGTCGTGGGTTCGATTCCCGCACGGAACAACTCTGGGTGTGATGTGTATGTGAAATTGTATGTTTGTAAATGGACACACGATACAGGAGAAAATTTTAGTGTAGGGCAATGCTGTATAAAAATGAAAAAGTATGAATGTTATTATATTATTGAAACGTCGTGGAGGCCCAGGAGTTAAGGCTTCTCATGCATGAGGGTGCGGGTTCGAAACCAGGCAAGTACCACTGTGACTTTTTCCGAGTTACACGTACTTTCTGTGATTATATGTATGGACTTATAATTTATAATTATAAGTTTGAAATCGCCAATCCACCTTTAGCAAGCGTGGTGAGTAATGAATTGAATGCTCAAACCTTCACCGTGTGGGAAGAGGCCTTTGCCAGTATGCACTGAAAGTCTGATGGTGTGATGTGAAGCCTCTTTTAAAAGCTATCAAATGCAAATTACGTAACTTAGTAATCTGTATAAATTTCATAAACTATTACTAATCTTTTAAAATTTTTTTCGTCCACAGCAAAAACAGAATGGCCATAGACATGCCGGAAGAAACGTTGGCACAACTGTCAATCAATTTTGCCAACTTAGAGAAGCTAAACATCTCAGTGTGCGACTACGAATGGGCTGATATTCTCGCTCTATCACACTTATGGCCGAAGCTAAACGAAATGATCGCTGCGTATAACAGAATAAAGACTATAATCCCACCGACAGTCACACTCAGAACTCTAACAGTTTTAAAATTGGATGGGAACCCTTTGGCATCTTGGTATGAGGTCATGAACCTTGGTACGATGAAAAACTTAAAGGTTCTAAGTTTAAACGACTGTCAAATAACGGAAATAAGGTTCAATGACAATCCCGATGACAAGGTTGACCTGTTTGAAAAATTGGAAGTTCTCTTTTTGAATCGGAACCGGATTAATGACGTGAGTATTGTTGTGGCAACTTTTTTGATTGGTGTTGCCATGTAATAATATTTTTTTAAACAGGTAGATAAAAACATAAGACATTTCTGGTTTGACGCCCAACTTCACTAGATAACGGCATAATCACTCATAAACTTCTTTATTTTGTCTCCAATAATGTATTAAACCCACAAAGCCTTCTCCTTCTCCCCCCCCCACCCTCTTCTCCAAAGGCAAGTCGGTAGAAAGGGCGAAAACCAACGCTGTGGTTGTTTCACGCCGGTGTGGGAGACCCATGTATAAAGCATGAATGGACCAGCTCAACCGGAGTTCAACCACGGCCTTATAGAAAACCGTGAAGCAACACTTGTGCTGTGTTTCGCCGTGTGAGTAAGGTTACCAGAGGCCCAATCCAACCCCCTCCCCCATGCCTTCCCAATCCTTCAATTTCCGAAACTGTTATCCCTAAAAGGGTCGGCAACGCACTCGTAACTCCTTTGGTGTTGCGGGTGTCCATGGGCGGCGCTGATTGCTTACCATCAGGTAATCGGCCAGCTCGTTTTCCTTCCTATCACATAAAAAAGATATCCTGATAAAAAATGAATAATATAATGTTTTATTATTTCAGTGGCGATCTCTAAGTGAACTGAACAAGCTAGCCTGCCTGAAGAAACTCTACTTCCTAAAGAACCCTATACAAGAGAGCGAGGACTATGACACCGGATCACAACTTGTTATCGCTAAAATTGATACACTTCAGGTAAAGATACCATTTAAATATTTAAATTTGATTTATTTGATAAAATCATTTTTCATATGGCACTAGCAAACCCGGCGAATTCCGTTTCGCCATCAGATGTATTTCAAATAGTAGGCGCTGTATGCGAAAAAAAAATTCCCGCTTCTTTGTTGATTTTTTTCCTGTATTTTCTTTCCAACGAATGCAAAACCGTGGAAATCGGTTCGTGTGTGTTGGAGTTATAGCGTCAGGAAGGAAAACCCGACTTATTTTTATATAGTAGATACGTAGGTTAAAGAGCTGTCGGATCACCTTATGGTTAACAATCGGCGGAACCCATAGAGAAAAAAAAACCTTAATTGTCAATTCATCGTCCAATTACAGCGGGCGAAGTTAAACCCCGCCCCACGGTTGTTCGGTGACTTTTTCAAACAAAAACGTACAGATGCTATCTCTACTGGATAATTTCTCTATGGCAGCACCTGTTACCGTAATATGAAATGCTTATAATTTTCTATGAATTTTGTACAAGATACAGATTTTTGACGTCAGCATACGCTGATAAGTCACTGCAACCCCGGCCTAATGCAGGAGAAGGAACGGGGGTGTTTTTAGTCAGTAAAAGTCTGACACTCCCTTCCACCCCACACTGTGCGGGAAAAGTCATTTGATGATTTTCCCCTCACAAAAAGAGTACACATTATGTGAAAAGCATACTTATTCGTTAAACATTTTCTGTAAAAAATCTAAAATAAATTATTATATCGTCAACTGAACGAATGTCATGTGATTATTTTGAAATATGTTATTCTATTTAAAATTGAAATCAATTACTCTTAACTGAGGATCAATTGCATTACTAACCATTTTTGAAAGCTAAGGACTTGGAGATATGGGCACTCGCTGAAACAGAATTCTGTGGCTGATTAACGCCACTTCCGTCTGCTGGTTTACCGACCTATAACATACAAAAAAATTATTCACAGGGGGTGAATAGTTTTTCTATCTCTGATAGTCTGTTTACTAGAGAAACTTAAATAATAATAATTAATATCATCGTTTATACCTCATCTAGGAACTGAATGGCTCAACAATAACGAGAGAATTGCGTCGTGGAGCTGAATATGATTATATGAAGCGCTATGGAGCAGAATGGAAGCTAGCACAGAACGACCCAGCCAGCCAACGAGCCTTTAGCGTCGAGCACTGTAGATTTACTGAGCTTATTAACAGTAAGTACTTACATATAACAGCCTACTAGCTTCCACCCGCGTGGTATGTTGATAAAAAGTAGCCTATGTCCTATTCCGGAGTGTATCCTATGCTTGAGCTAAATTTCACCCAGATACGTCCACCCGTTTTGGCGTAATTGAGTAACAAACATCCAAACATCGTAACAGTAAGATAAGTATCTTACTAATATTATAAATGAGAAAGTCCACTGCTGAGCAAAGACCTCTTCTCACAGAGAAGGTTTGAACATTAATTACACTTGCTCAAGGCAGATTAGCGATTTGAAAATTATAATTAAAAATTATAGATTCCTTTCCCTTCACCGCATGTCAGTGCTGTCTATATAATCATAGAAAGTACATATAACTGAGAAACGTGAACGTGCCAGGTTTCGGAACCGCAACCTTATGCATGAGAAGCTTAACCTCCGACCACCACAACAATCTTAAGTAATAACATAAAGATGTACAAAAACGCGATTCCCTGGTATCCGGGTGTATACCGGGTTATTGCGAGAACCACCTGGAGGACAGGGTGGAACATATATTGGCGGTGTGCCATGATTGGACTAAGCAATGTCTTGTAAAAAAAGAATTTGTTTCTCATTTTTTCTATGTAGATGTATACAGATAGATGGAAAAAGCTCCACCTCTATGTAAAATAACTGTTTTGTTAATCTAAATTACACTACTAAAAATAATTTATATTTTTTCCAGAATACGGCATTCCAGACGACAGCCTCCTAGTAAAACAACCCAAAACAATGACACTCACATCACAGCTACTAGAAATAATTCTACGAGATGAAAACGGCAAATCGTTCAAAAAGAAATTCCCCTCATCCATGTTTGTGCAAAAGCTGGTCACACTCGCACAAAGACTGTTCCCCAGACCTGGTCACACTGGTCCACCAACACTGTACCTTCTCGACGATCAAATGCAAGGCGCAGAAATATGCCTCGACAACGTCATGAAGGACCTCGCCTATTTTTCAGTAAAAAATGGAGACATTATCCTCGTCAAATTCAGATAAATCATATTTCCCCACCGGTAACACAAATCAAGATGGCCGTTTGATTTAATTGGCGCGCATTTTAAAGTATTTATTTAAAAACCTTACTGAGCTTTGTAAATAATGTTATCTCGAAATTGTACCTGTATTTATGGTGAATATTATTTTTCTCAAAATAAATGTTCAATTATGTATTTTTATTTGTGGTTTTTATTTATTTCTGTCGGCTGAGACAACCTTCTTGGCAGGGGCTTGAACTGTACAATGAAAACATGCTTATTATCATACTAAAATAAAGTGCAAGATTTGAAAGTATGAATAAGTGGATGGATGTATATTTTTCTCATGGAATAGAAAATACCCTTTTTACCCTCGTACTGAGTTGCTGGCAGAAGCTAGTTGATAATAAAGCAAAGTGTAAACGAAGCCTAACACTGTAACTTGTTGGTTACGGCAGTATTTTTTTATGAGAGATACGTCGGAAAATGATTCCACGGATAACCTGATGGTACGCAATCGCCGCCACCCACGGACACCTGCAACACCAAAGGAGTTACGAGTGCATTGACAAGGGATTTTTTGGGGATAAGGGTTTCGGATTTATAAGGATTGGGAAGGGGAGGGAGGGATTGGGCCTCCAGTAACCTCACTCACACGGCGAAAAACAACGCCATTGTTGTTTCACGCCGGTTTTCTGTGGGGCCGTGGTATCAATCTGGTCGAGCCGACCCATTCGTGCCGAAGCTTGGTTCTCCCACTTAGTTTCGCAAACGCAGAGTTTTTTTATTATAATCATTTTTACACATCCGTCTATATTACATACAGTCCGCTACGTCTAGCTTTGTTTTGTAAAGCGTAGCCGTAACGAAAACACAATCAAAATAATTATTTAATAGAACAGATGTGACCTTTCATTTTACGATGTTAATTAAAATTGTTCAAATACAGATGTCGCCTTGAGCACGTAAACTTGTTAATATAATACATTAATCATTTTACGTATGATGCTTCACTTGGAAGGACGATCTTTAGGATTTTTCTTTAAGCCTGGGGCACCAAAAGTAATAATAGGAAAATGTGTACAGACATTTAAAAAATACCTAATTAAAAGGCTCGAAACTACAAAAAAAAGACAAAATTGCAGATAAGATAATCAGTTATGAAACAAATAAAATTAAAAAGAAGTAAACGAAAGCAAAGACAACCTTTCTATATTATTGTGTGGACAAAGAGAACAAACTAATGGATAACACTGGCCACATCGAACTCGATCGCTATTGGTAACCGTTGTGTCAACAAAACTTTTTTGTTTACAAATGGCCACGGGTGACAAATTCAAATTTGAAAGACGTATTTGTGATGTGAAAAGTGATTTTTTATTGTTAATCTAGTTGTGTAAGTTGTGTTTATTATGGGTAATTGTCTGGGAAGTATTTTTCGGCGTCGAAACCAGCGTCGTCACATCGTTTTGATACTGATAGGATTGGATAACGCGGGAAAAACAAAAACTGTCAATAATTTGGCCGGCGAGAAAGATGACAAGGTTTTGCCGACTGTGGGTTTTAAAGCTGTGAATTTAGTGCATAAAGATACGCCTGTAACGATATATGATTTAGGCGGGGGTCCTCACTTTCGCCAAATATGGTCTCAGTATTATAGCGAAGTGCATGGTGTAATATTTGTCATCGATTCAAGTGATTTTTCACGGTTGGATGAGTGCAGGGCCGTACTTGAAGAGGTGTTATCGCACGACAAAATATCAGGTACGATTTAATTAATATTTTGCAACTATTACCATGGTTACTCTCGACCTGATTCATATTTTGATTTGCGTAATGATTTCACTGAAAATGTTTTACATTTCAACAATTCGTTTTAGTTTTTTTGTCTTACATTTCATACATTCGGTTTTTGAAACGAGAACAAATTAGAATTTAATGCTTTCCTGGTATTTTTGGGGAGCCAGCTTATAGCTAAATTTACCGATCAAAGTCCGGATTTGAGACTAGGTAGTTTCAAAATCCAGGCATGGATAAAGGTGTCCTATCAGGATAGGTGAAACGGCTTTAAGTTAGTAAGAGTCCCACACTTGGGAGAAGACAATACATTTATGATGTTCTCCTGTTAAAAATAGGTTACCTATGTACTATTCCTTATTGTCCAAAACTAGTGTTTGTTAAGATCCGCGTTATTCAACAAAGACTTTCCTTATAAGCGACTCCAAAACTTGCCGATTACTTTGCAGCTACTTGTAGCGGCGATCAGACGGTACGATTCATCGGGACTTACGGACTTAGGGCGGTTGGGCACTCTCGATCGCCCGATTTAGGGACACTAACAGCCTAACAGCGATCATACCACACAATCCATCGGAACTAAGGGCTTAAGCACATCATTATATTTGAAATAAGTCCGTGGTCTTAAGTAAATAAAGACAAGGCAAAAACTTTGCCTACTCGATTTTAATTTTTTGCTATACTTAATTAGTAGGTAGCCGTATGAGCAGCCGGGGTTGCGGGATAAGCGTAATGAGTCACCGCGGCTTCAGCCCAGAGCAGAAGGAACGGAGGTTTTAAGTCAGTAAGAGTCTGACACTCTCTCTCGCAGTCTCGCCTAACCCGGGCCGGAGAAGACATTTGATGATTTTCCCCTGACAAAAAAAGGTACCCGAGTACCTACCTACCTATAGGTTTATTTCCTAAACATTTCCATACAATTAAAACATTTGTAGTGGAAATATATTTATTTTTAATATTACCTTCAAAAACGGCAAGTTCGAAGGTAGAGGCCTAAAACTGCCTATTTGGGTAAAGTAGGCGCTGGCCATCGGCATATACAGTATATTCCACAATCGACACGCAACTTCAACTTTTCGGGTTCATGGTCAAGATAGTTCTTAGTATATCGACCTCGGTATTTTTTCCTTTCTTTCATTAATTCGTAATTTATTATCGTCTACGGCACAAATGTTGGACACGATAGGCCTATCTTAATGACCACTTGTGGTATTGCGAAGTTATGTTGTGAACTGGGTAGGTTTTGCCCATAATCTTTTTTGTGGAAGTATAAAATAACGTGCTTCCCGAAGTCTATTCTATGTATTATATGATCCTGTTTCCGCCTACTGTGTTCTAAGTGATCGCGTCTATCTGTAGGTATTTTAAATTTTCTTGATTAAATTCTAGCCATGGAGGTATGTACCATTTACATATGTCAATAAATTTTTGTCGTACCTAGTTCGAGTTTAACGACTTCCGAGGTTTTAATTTCGATGTTATGTGTATTTTAATTTAAGAGCAATTGTTACCCAGCCATCGACGACTTGTGTACTTCAACTAAAGATACCTTTTTTGTTTTGATCATCCAATGACTTCTGCCGCTCTGGTGGAGGGAGAGAGGGATTGTCATACTTTTACCGACTACAAATTATCGTCACACGATCCCCAAAGTTCAGAGTGTTGCCTAAAGATAGTTTCACCTGCTTCCTGCTTTGCAAGCATGATTGCTTTGCAGAAGACGACAGAAGTACGACGGCTTCCTAGATCCTTTCGCTCCACACGATAGCTTCGATTAAGGCATGGCAGTGGACGAGCACACTTAGTTTATAAAAACGAAAACTCTAATTGGCCAATACGTCTAGCATTTAAATATGCCCAAAGCCCAAACCGTAATTAAAACGCACAATAAAGATATTTTGATAATCGTCAGAAAAGCTTGTGACCTATTTTCACTCGTTGTTACATAGGTACTATAGTATTTGTATAAATACATTAGTATTTAGCACAGGACAGATCACCTAATAAAGATTGCCAGTAAGGGTAGCTCGCGGCCCGACCAGAACCAGACCAAAATGTAGCGTTCTGCGTGGACCTCAAAGAGCCAATAGACCACCACAGACATGGTAATTTAGGGCTGATGTTGAGCCGGGGCTGCGGGGCAAGCGCAGCCGGAGAAGGAATGGGGGTTTTTGACACTCACTCAGTTTTGCCCTACCCTGGGCGGAAGATGTCATTTGACGATTTTCCCCTCACATTTATATGGCGGGCTTGACAAAAAAAGTTATTTTTTTATTTAACCTTCGACGGAAAAGGTGACAATCTAGTTAACACGTGTAGTGTAACAGGCATGTAACTCGGAATTAATTAGATAAAGCGTTAATTAAAATTGCTTATCAGTTATTCTGTACTGGTTGGTTGGTTACTGGTGAATAGGTAGGTGCCAATGGTGACTAGTTTTGCTGTTTATCGAGTTGCCTAACTGTGACTGTTACCGTGGCTCCGTGGCTAATCTAAACTAATATTATAAAGATAAAATTTGTAAGTTTGTATGTAGGGGGTAATGTTTGGAACCGCTGGTCGGATTGCCAAAATTCTTTCACAGATAGATAGCTACAAAGTTCCTGAGTGGTATAGGCTATAAAACATCACGCTACGATCTGCAGGAGCAGAGTAGCGAGTGAAAACGCTCGATAGTAGCTAGTATCGTAAATATAATTGTATAGTATATGTTTGTTCAAGTATTAACACTTATATAGTTGTAAATATATATTATATAGATAAGTTGGTATCTAATTTCTATAATATTTGCGTTGAAAAAATACAAGTACTTTACTAATATTTGTTCCTATGTAAGGTTATTTAATGACATCATAATGATACGATTCCTGTGATCGTCTCGGTTCGAATCTGGTCTGGATGATTAAGTCGATAAAGGATCGAATGGCCTGTGAAGCGGGCAATTTGAATTACGCTTTTGTGCGGGTGGTAAATCATAGGCTGAGCCCAGCCGGTGTAAGTCAGAAGTGAGTGGCAGACTCTTTCTGACTAAAAACCATTTTGTTCCATTCCCTGCTCCGTAACAGAATCTCTGTATCTATTTTAAAAGTATGACCATTAAAGGGAGTTCATAAAAAATCTTATACTTATCACCTACAGTACTATTCTGTACTAGTATTGCCTGGATTTCAGTAAAATGTAACATTCAGCTTAGCACCAGACTTAGTGTAGGCTTCAGGCGTTAATCTGATTACGGACACGTAGATTGTGAACTCTATATCCAGTCTCTACCATGTCATGGTCGGTTCTTTGTCTTGTAATAACTAAATCAAAACCAGATCTACGTATTTTGTTAGAATGATAGGGATATCCTCGAGGCGATTGATTGGACAACAATTTGTGGATCACACAAAGTTTAGCAATCTGTGCAATCAGTCTAGTCAGTATTTATTTCTCAGAAATGAAAGTGTTTTTCATAAACTTTCCGATTTCTCTATAATTGTTTGTATACTTGTCATAGCGTCTGTGTCATAGTTTTGTTGGAAATATAATTACGTCACTGAAAGACCTTCGGTTTCAGTCAGTAAATACTATGTTATTAGCCTGATTCAATCGGCAGGTGTAGACTTGTTCTAATTTATTTATACGAAGACAGACAATCATTGTTTTTACAAGTGACGTCAGTTTTTTAACTTATGTTGTCTTGATTTGACCTTGGACTAGGTGATATTGACATTTTGGAACATTTTGATCAAGGCGTTTGGAGTAGTTTATGGTGTATCATAACATGCATATGGAAAAGAACGAGCGGGAATTCATGGTCACACTTTTTTTTGGCCCATCAAAAAAAAAATGGTGTCACGAATTTTCTCACGAAGAGGACTAGTACTTTTAATCTGTAAGCTTTGTTGAGATTCAAAAGTGCCTGTTAGGGTTTCATTGACAAAATAATTGTACCCGCCCTGGTTCCACCCAGGGAGAGTGTCTGACTGCACGGTTGGTGCGGTGGCTGGGCAAATGGCCGCCGTGCACCGTGTCGCGGGTTAATTCCACACGGAACAACTCTTTGTGTGATTCACAAATTGTTGTTCCGGTTCTGAGTGTCATGTGTATGTGGAATTGTATGTTTGTTACCGCACCCACGACACAGGAGAAAATCCTAGTCTGGAGCAACAGTTTTTTATTGTTGCGCTTGCTTTTGTAATCCCAGTTGTGGTTCTCTTATTATAAATACACTAGCAGCCCGCTCCCGCTTCGCACAGGTCCAACTACCTCGTTATCAAAGGGTCACTTTTTCCTAATCTTCCCCTCTACTTTTCTAATATTTTCTTAGAACCTTCTCCTGACAATAATGAACACAACAAAAAAAGAATTAGCAAAATTGGTCCAGGAGTTGTTGAGTTATGCGCTTACCAACACATTTTGCGATCCATTTTTATATATAAAAAGAAATTATGTTCAAAGTTACGTGAGAATTTTGAAATTAATTATCGGAGGGATTTGATTAGTTACAAGCCATGTTAGGGGCTCATCATGAGCAGCATGGCACGACACACGACGTCATTAACGCCGCGCAGCTCATAATGTTATGTTAGATAACTAATAAATGTTATAATTTGTGGTAAAGTCTTAGAAATAAAAAAACTAAACTTATAAACATTACTGCAATATAATTTATGCCCTTTATAGTTACAAATTATAAGCTTTTCCTAAACGGAGTAGCGTGACTGAAACACTTAATTAATCCATATTTTAGCTTTCATTAACACGTGAGATTTTTTATGCCGTACAGCGATAAACTTGTAACAAAAACTCCAATAAATATGAGTAGTTTAAGGACAACCTTACGTCGGCCCTTGAACTATGAAAGTTTAATTCTGGGCAAGTTTTAATTACTCACTGCATCGTTCATAAACTGGCTAGAAAGAGGTCTTAGTGTCGATTAGAGATAAGCGGGGTTGCGACTTTTTGCCGCCAATTTTAGGGACCACGGTGGAGCATAGGGTGTCCTGCTTGGGTTGAGCACCTCTGTGTCCGGTCCAAGTGATCGGCGGTGGCGACCTACCACGTCCGGCCCACCCGGCGGAGTGAGTGGAACTAGAAAGCCGTCTCCTCTGTCTGCGAAGCGGTTATGCTGGATCTATAACATCTAAACATATTGTTACTTATGTGAACTGCTAAAAACTGGAATTCTCTCACGCGTCGCTCTTCCTAGGGACTTACGATTTAATGATTTTCAAGGCAGAAGTTATTAGGCATTTTTTGAGTTGGCGTGTTCCACCTTAAACCCCATCATTGCTTTCCATCAGGCTTGATAGAGGTCAAACGCAATTAAATAACGAACAAAAATAAAATAGTCCTCGAGCCCCAGCCGCTTTGCATTAGAAGACGATACGACGATTTCCGGCGCAGAACGAGCGGTGAGCAAGGGTAGTTCGCCGCCCCATCAGAACGTACGGTAGCGTTCCGCGCGCCCTTTAAAGAACCAATAGGGACGATGTCTAGCTGAGGGTGTGAGTCAAGCGCAATAAGATACCACGGCCTCGGCCTGGATCAGGAGAAGGAACGAGGGGTTTTTAGTTAATAAGACTCCGATACTCTCTATCGCCGTACTCTGGGCGAAAGAAGTCAATGGATTTTCCTTCCTTAAAAAGAGAGAGTAGTTTCCGGAAAATAGCCACTGTGTCCAGAAATACACTGCTTTCTGCATCTATCCATCTAAGTTGTTAATTCATTGTATTGGTTTTCCTTACCAGGCAAGCCGGTTCTAGTTCTAGCGAATAAACAGGATAAGACCGGGGCTTTGGACGACATCGATGTGGTGGAAAAACTGAACATCGAGCCACTAGTTAATAAGTAAGTTTTGTCGATTCAGTTTAGAACCTCATTATACTAGAAAAACACCATACTTAAGCATATTGCACGTGATACCGTAAGTCTGTGCAAACCTTTGATATTCGGTTGATGTAATGAAAAAAGCTATTTGTAGTTGATGTACCTTTAAAAATCCAATGTGAAAATTTAAAGCTTGTAAAATTCCTTAAAAAATCCATTTGTCTTCTCAGATACAGATGTCCAACTCTAGTAGAATCCTACAGCGCATTCACAGAACACCCAAAGACTAAAAAGCCAAAAATAGATCCAGGGTTACGTAAAGGCTACCAATGGCTCCTAAACTACATAGTGCGACGATACGGAGATATAAATTTACGCGTACAGACGGACATACACGCAGACCTGGAAAGACGCAAACGGATGATGAACAAAGCTTCAAACACAACATCACAGACATTCACAGCAGTGAGCGATGACATAGCCACACAAACCGGCTTCGAAAACCCTAATTACGACATCGAGAAATCGACTAAAATCGACAATGAAGATGTACAACAAGGGGTGATAATCGTCAAACCGATTAAACACAACTCTAATAGCATTGATTCGACTATAACTATCGAGAGTGTCGAAGAATCTGAAGCTACTAGTGGTTCCAAGCCAAAATTGTCCCCGCTCTTTGGTAGGGCTAGTAACTCGACCGTGGAGACTGTTCGAATAGAGCTGGAGCCCAGGAGTGAGTTCAGGAAGTTATCTCCTATTGTCCGAAACAAGAGTGGCGCGAATCAACACATTGATTTCCAGAACAGACCGCAGTCTAGTCCTTCCTTCGTTAAGAAGAAGATTAAGGTGAGATGCCATAAATGCCTTTATTTTGCTAGACTATAAGGTCTTCATTACTTTGGATAATAAATTAGTATAATAGCTTTCTCGATTGCGTTCAATATGCTATCGTATCTTTAGCTTAACTTATTGAAAATAACGAAATCGCATCAAGTGAAATAATTGAGAAAAGTTCTACTACTTTCAAGTCACAACGGGACTCTTATTCACGAGCAGCATACGACGTCATCCAAATTCAAACTTTCAAACTAATATTATAAATGCGAAAGTAACGCTGTCTTTTCTTCACGCCTAAACTACTGAACCGATTTCTGTGTAATTCGGTACAGACATAGTTTGGAACTCGAGAAAGGACATAGGATAGTTTTTATACCAAAATCCTGCAGGTAGTCACTAGTACTAGAATAACTAGTAGAGCTCAGTTAATTCACGTGCATAAATCGTTATTTTCAAAAAAATTTGGTGTTGTACATTACACGATATTAATTATCACTACAAAGTATAAACAGAGTCGCTTTCTCTGTCCCTATATCACTATGTATACTTAAATCTTTAAAACTACGCAACGGATTTTGATTACGTTTATATGCATATTTATATGCGAAACCGGGCACCCGCCCGCTAGCACAAAAATATAATTGGAGTAACTTAAAATTCCAAAAATTACAACACCCTTATTCAGAAGACTAAGTCACCTTAGCCAACTATTCTCAAAACTCAGGTGGAATCGTCAAGCAAGAACACGTCTCTACAAGACGAAGATCTAAAACCGGATGGTGACCTCTCAGTTTACATTGGCGATCGCAACAGGACTTGGGACAGCTCGGAGAAGAAACACACGGTGCTCGTCAATGATGCAGAACTGTCAATGACGCATCGTGAGATCGTTCTTAATGAGAGAGGTAAGAATTGACTTTGATCTTGGGAGAGCCATACTTCGGCACGAATGGGTCGGCTCAACCGGAGTAATACCACGGCCTCACAGAAAACCTGCGCGATACTTATGTTGCGTTTCGTCGTGTGAGTGAGGTTACCGGAGACCTAATCCTTCCCTTCCCCATCCTCTATCCTTAAATAGATCCCGTGTCCGTAATTCCCTGACAACCCGCCAGAGTCCAGCAACGTACTCGGGTTAACTCCGTTGCTATTGCGAGAGTCCATGGGCGGCGCCGATGGCTTACCATCAGGTAATCCGTCTGCTTGTTTGCTGACCGACAAAAAAAAAAACAGGAGTCTAAAGTGGTCTCATGCTGATGTCTTTATGATGAAGTATTTCTTTTCTTGGGAAATGACTGAAAATAAATAGACAATTCGTCTGATGATAAGCAACCAGTGGCGCCCATGGACAGCCACATTAGCGGAGTTTAATGTGCGTTGTGCCGGCCTTTTGGGGTGAAGGATTTATGGATTAGGGTAGGGGATTTAAGATTTGGGAAGAGAGGAAAGAGGAGGGGGGAGTCTAAAGAAGTCACGAGTGCGTGCAATGGGGGAGGGAAAGAAGGATTGGGCCTCTGGTAGCCTTATTCATATGGTAAAACCCAACGTTGTGGCTGTATCACGTCGGATTTTGTTAGGACGTGGTATCACTCCGGTCGAGCCGACGCAGAAAAAGTGACGTTACATTGGAATTTACTAGATACTCTAAGAAATTGTCGATCTTTTTATTCATTTTTCATTTAACTCTTTCGTTTATTAGAAATTATATTAAAACACTGTCATTTTCACTCCTAAAAATTCTCCTTTTTGCCCTGTGAATTTATCATATTATTGATGAAAAAGTTTGATTTCTTAAATGATAAATTCTGAGGGCTAGAAGGAGAATTTTTACATTACAACTAAACTTACAGTTATGCTTAAACTGTAAGTCCACCATATAAAAACACTTTTTTCTTGTAGACTACACAAACAAGACAGCGTATTCTGAGGTAAGCCTACAGCCGGCGACGTTGCCGCTGAGCCCCCGGCCGGCCTCCGCCTCGCAGCTGGTCAGGAGACAGCTGGAACTGTGCGGCCAACATAAACGACGTCTCAGTCTTAGATGTAAGTAATTTCCTTTTTTATCCACCCATAGGATCGCTCGCGTTGTCCAAACTTTGCCCCACACTACGATTTTTGCCTGTGTCGTGGGTGCGTTTACATACATACAATTTCACATACACACCCGGAACAACAATTTGTTGATCACACAAAGAGTTGTTCCATGCGGGAATCGAAATTGTGACACTTGCACGACAGGCAGTTGCCCAGCTATCGCGTCAACCGTGCAGTCAAACTCCAACTGAGCTCGATGTTCAGCTCTTCTCATCCAACCACTGCCAGCCACCCTGCGGATGTCGTCAATCCACCTAGCTGGAGGGCGCCCTACACTACGTTTGCCTAGACGTGGTCTCCACTCGATTTTTATGCCTTTTTTATAGATAGATTGAAGAGAAACTTTTATAAGTGTAGGAATTTTGTATCATCCGTGCGAAGCCGATGCGGGTCGCTAGTCTATACTAATATTATAAATGCGAAAGTCTGTCTGTTTTCTTCACGCCTAAACTACTGAACCAATATCTGTGAAATTTGGTACACATATAGTTTTGAACTCGAGAAAGGACATTGGATAGTTTTCATACCAAAAATCTGCAGAAAGTCACTATTCCATGCGAACGGAGTCGCGGGCAAAACCTAGTTTTTTATAATTCAATCAATATTTTAATATGATTTTATCAAACCTGTTGACGTAAATAGTAAACGTGGAATTACAAAATAATTATATCTTTATTTCAGATATGCAGCGTAACAAGACCAGTCCGGAGCGTGTGTCCATGTTGATATACGAGCCGTCGAAGGCAGCGCAGAGGCACCTCGACAAGGGGGATTTTGAACACTCCGCTACCATCAACTAATTGTGTGAGTCTCATAGTACTTAAATTGATAAATTGAAGCCCTATACTGTAGTTTCCAACTAATCAAATTCAATACTTTTATCCAAATGTCAAAAAAACTTAAAAAAATGGTATGAAACTCCAAATTGTGACGTTGTAGTATTTTTGAGTCATATAGATTACTTATTTCTTAAAAATATTGAAAATTTTGTGTAAGTATCGACAGATCGATGAATAAAAGTGTAGCTAGATATTTTTCATTTTTTATTGTATTTAAACGTCAAATTAATATATTTTTGATTTAGGAAATTACCCAAAAATAATAAAAAAATACCCATGCGTAGCCCACAAGAGGCCGGCAACGCACTAGTAGTAACTCCTTTGGCAATACTTACCAGTATCCATAAGCGGCGCTGATTGGTTACCATCAGGTAACTCCGTCGGCTGGTTTGCAAACCTATACCATAAAAAAAAAATCCATCACTGCTGTTTCATAAATAAAGTCATTTTGATTAAAAGTAAAAAGCTAAGCCTTAGTCTATTGGAATCGCGATTTTTACCAATTTGTATGTCAATATGAGCTCCTAGCGTGGTTTGAAACTAGTCGTGATCCTCCTCAGTTACATGTTTTTAAAGCAGTACCACCGAAAATTGGGTAGTTTCGTAGATCAAATATTCGTATTATTTTGACTTTTTAATACAATGAACTGTTAAAATAAACCTAAAACCAACATAAGTAAGGTTTTTTGCGTTCAAAATATCCTTTTTCACATTTCAATATAATTGCTCAATTTGACTAGTTGGAAACTACCGGATTACTTGTACAATAACACAGAATAAACCATTCAAACAATTTTGCTACACATACATAAATTAAAAATAGAAAATGTAAGCATTTACACATAACATATCAATCTTAGTACATATGCTGTGCTAATGCACAGGACAGATTTTCAGATTGCCCTTAACTGTTGGGCTAATATAATACACATTTTGCGCACACGAAATTAAATACGTTGTTATTTATTAAATTCTTTTAATTTGGTTGTTACAGGAAGACAAGACCTGAAACGAAAGTTCACAGTACAATATTTAGACTTATAACTTAGACATTTTTATATATAAATAAGAAAATAATATTAATATTGTCTACACAGGGTATAGACGTAGCTAAAAAGGTGCTCCATCTAATTCGTACTGAGCAATACACCCCATTACTTGATAACCCTTTAGTCTTACGCTAATAATTAATTAATTATTAAACTACATTTTTAAATATTACTTTAAAAATAGGAGCCTATCGAAAGCGGGAATTTGGTCTAAGCTACAGGGCTCTGGAGACAGAAAACCTCAAAAAGTAGGACTGTCTTCTGTTTTAAGCCCTTCGCCTCTTAAAATGGCTGCCGAGGGTTAAAATATATAAAATATTAATTGTTTATGTAAAGCATAATGTTTGTAAACTCAACCTAAATATATAAGCAGGGTTTAAAACACAAAACTTTTGATAGTTGTGTGTTTTTTGGAATATTTCAATTTCAATATTTATGCGGTGTAGGTAAATGTCATTGGTAATATTATTTCTTTTGAACAAAATATAAGTTTCAACGTCAAGTGTTAAAAACTGATTTTAATTACATATTCACAGTTAAAACAGAATTGATTATAATTACCTAAGTATTTTTTTTAAGTTATAACAATTTGATTATTTTGTAAGTTCAGTTAAGATTCTAAATAAAATTAATAAAAAGCCAGCTTTGGAATTAAGTTTGTTTGTTGACTGAGGTACCTTAAAAACCTACTTCATACATTATTAAATATTGATTTTTTTCTTACTTGAAACTCAACAATTGACCAAAAAATTCTGGACAAGGCTGGCTGTATGATGCTTCCAGTAAAGTCAGCCTTTGTCTATCATTGTTTTTGTATTGACTTGAACTACTCAACATTATTAAAAGATTGCTACATAGCAAAGACACTTTGTAAAATATTAAAGGCTTTCGTTTCTTCTGACAACTTGGCTGAAAAGACCTTATGCCATTTTATCGGCCCTGCTTGGTGAGCCCACAATTAAAATATCTTTTAACCAAAAAGTTATAATTTATTGTAATTTTTATATTTCTGTTGAATTAAAAAATTAAAATATAGGTAAATAAATAGTACTAATTTTGTTATGTTATAAAAATATAGCATTTAAATGATTAGGATTATTGATACAAGATATAATTATAATTATATATAGATAGGCCAGGCAATTAAAAGTATATATTAAATAGTACAATATATATATTTAAATTTAGATTAAAGCGAAAAATATATAGAATAGAAATAATTTAGTTTTGTATTTTGTGTACCTACCTATTACATTATAATAAAAGTTGTGTTATGAATTTGCTGTTTTATTTCCTTTAAGTTCTATCACTGCAAAACCTCCCCTTTTATGCGGATCAGAATGAAAGGGGAGGGTTTGAGTCAGTAAAAATCCGACTCTTCTTGTCGCCCCATCTAGGACAGTAGTCTTTTGGTGATTTTCCATCCTCAAAGAAGACGATAACTAATATGCTTGAGATTAGGTGCTGATGTTTTCGCAGATTCCATCTTTCATGACCAACAATACGGGTTCAGGAAGGGACGATGCACAACTAACGAAAAACAATTATAATACTGACGAAGCATCGAAAACCTACATAACCCGACCAAGTTCGGATGGCTACAAAAAAGCGGCCGTGCCATATATCTAAGACACGTTCTTAACTTTTCAATATAGCATTTATTAATATGGTACAGTATCGTACACAAGCGTTAGGAAAAAATAAAAATATTTTAAGAAAAAAATCGATTAAAGAAGAGGTTTTTTTTAAGTTATTCGATTGTTTGATCCACTAAAGTTGCAAAGGGGAAGCTTTAAGGGTCGTTTGACTGCCTTTATCCTTTACGTATCTTGTGATAACCTTTATTTACCTTGACGTATCTTGTGATAAGCAGTTAACTAGTTGTGAGGTAAAGGAGTTGCAATTGCGTATGGGAAGAATCGAAAGTTTGTATGAGCAGTACGATGCGACTAGAATGCATGGTAGAAGACGTCAAAGCACAATAGGGTATTTGACGACATATAAAATAAACTATAATTTATTGTCATCCTAACTAATTATAGGTAAATTAAACATATTACATTTTTTTTTAATTAAAATATCATGTATTTTCAGAGTATTTCGTGAATAAAGTTGAAAATCATTTTCTTTTTTTTTTCGGTGATAGAAACGTTCTGTCATTGGTTGCCATTGTGATGACGTCGCACGCAAGTAAACAAAGCACATTTGACAGAGTTTAGTACGCCGTTTACTTGTTATAAAGTGTTTCGATTCGATTTTTGAGTGATTATTTAACATTTTCATTTAATTTCTAACACAATTTTTTATTACGAAACTCTCGAGTACAAAATATCTAAGATGGAATCCAATTACGAGCGAGCAGATAACAGCAATCTACCTAAGATCGACCCATTCATGGTAGCATTATTTTTTAAAAATAATGCCGATTATTATGCTGCAGAACTAAAAAATGTAAAAACAGCAGTGTAAGTACCACGCAACAATTATTTGTTTATATTTTGTACAAAAAATCATTCGTGTATTTTAGGTTATAAAAATTTCAGTACCTTCAGTAATAGTTTTATTTGCAGGTCTGCAAGAGAGTCATACGGTGATGATGCCGTTGGGTACGTCCAGCTATATCGCGACAATGGAATTTGTACAGTGAAATGTAAAATGTGCCCGGAACATAAAGTGCGCACCAAAGCTTACAATGTTACCCTAATCGTTAATGAAAATGACGGTGAAATAATAAGCTGTGAGTGCCATGACTGTGCGGCTTCAGCTGGAGGATGTAAACATGCAGTTGCCTTTTTGATGTGGGTCCATCGTCGCAGCGAGGAACCGGCATGTACTTCGGTGGAGTGTTACTGGAAGAAGCCTGCTCTGTCTAGAGTAGGAACCACTTTAAAGTTCATCACTATAGAACAAATGACCAAGACCCTTGTTCCACACAGACCTAGCACATCAGCACTATGTGAAGACTTTATTTTAGAAGCAAAAAAGAGAAAAATTAATAAGTGTGAATTGCTAAAATATCAAAACGATTTTGTGCATAGTGACATTACTCGTTACTCGTTGCATAGCTTCATGGTTAATCTACCTCAAGAAACTAAGAATGATGTAGGCTTCCTCTTAAGCGTTATGAAAAGTGCATTCACTAGTGATATAATAAAAAATATAGAAGAAGCGACTAGGCAGCAGAATAAAACTAACTTTTGGTATGAACTGCGGTATGGCCGTATCACTGCTTCAAAAGCCCACGAAGTGAGTGTTTGCCATACAACTGATGGAGCATTAGTGGCCACTATAATGGGGGCAAAAATACCTGATACAGTGGCCATGAAAAGAGGAAGAATTCTAGAGCTTTCTGTCCGGAAAGCTGTAAGCAACAAATTGAAAAAAAAAATAACTTCCTGTGGGCTTTATGTCTGTAAAGACAACCCTGTGATTGCTGCATCCCCTGATGGGGTAATGAAAGATGCTGTTATTGAAATAAAGTGTCCTACAAAGGCCAAATCTAAAACAAATTATATAAAAAAATGGCATTCTTACTGCAAAATGTAAAGCGCAGGTGCAACTGCAAATGTATGCAACTGGTCTTCATAAATGTTATTTTTGTATAGCGGATAGTAATTTTGAACACACACAAAAAGTTGATATAATGTTAGAAAATTATGATGAAGATTTTGTTAATAACTTAATAAATAAATTAACTTTTTTTTGGAAAGGAAATATATACCCTATATTACTACGTAATACAGATATAAGTGAGTAAGCAATAAAAAACATTTTACAATGGTGAAAATATCTTGTTTTATTTTTATTCCTTAACTGGCTAGACACATTATTTAATTAGAGAATCTTGCAAATTAATAAGCGCACAAGCAATTTTAATAATATGGTCTAGAACGCGACATATATTTGTGTTTATAACC